TTATTCTTATTAAATCAGATGCGCGTTACCTTTTTTCTCAACTACATCTTTCGTAACTTCTCCCCTTATATTCCCCCGTTTAAAGAATGCGAATATTTTTTGTTAAGTCGAACAGCGGTGTTCCTCCTTAAGCGCGAAACGGGACGGACCGTGTTCCTTTTCAGTGACATCTGGTTCTCCCGTGGCCCAAAATCTCTCTCTCTCTCTCTCACTCTCTTTTCGTTTCTTCTTTTCCTTCTTTATTCTCAATCTTCTATCCTTTTCTCTTCCAACGGTGGCCATTATATACCGGCTAAAGCCTCATTCATGGTCACCGTTCTAGAAACCCGAGCCGATCAAAACAACTTTTTCATAGGGTACCCCCTTCCTCCTCTCGAGGACGATGGATTATCCTTCCTCTCTCTTTCCTTCTCTTTTCTCGTATGGTGCCCTGATTTTACGTTCCCTTTTCTCCCGTTATACGTTTCCGTCGCAACCTTCTCGGTTGGTACCCGATAGAGAAAGGAACTAAATAAGGGAGAAAGAAAATTCGTACGCGCTTACGTAGATACGTACCTAGGCCCTAAAATTTGGATTCTCCCCCGTTTTAACAACAACTAACGTTCAAACTTTCCGACCCCTCTGCCCCTCTCCTGCCTATTCTCCGTTATAGCCCTCTCGTACAATATTTACACGTTTCGATAAACAGCAGGATCCTTTGTAACGAACGAATCAAATTCGTCGCCGACTGCGTCTTATGTACCCACTCGACCGCCCTATAAATCTCAATTTTTGATTCTGTTATTCATCAACGACAAGTTTCACATCTGTGTCTATGTGTGGGTCAGTAAACGAGCGAGCATATAGTGTATTTTCATGAGATAGAGAGGAAAAAAAATAATAAAAAGGAAAAAGAGGGGTCACGGTTGACGGCGGTGGACGATTTGCGGCCGATACGTCACGTAAAATGTTTCAAAAGTTCGCACGCGCTTTTTTTCCTATCGTTCCCAAGTTCCTTGAAATTTATCGATTAGATCGTAAAACTTTGAGGACCCTACTCTCTTATGTGTATCTCTTACATAGACCTCTGGGTTCCCCTTAATAGAATTGACGGGAACGTAAAAGATGGTACTGTGTAAAAAATTATTTAAATAATCGCGTTATGTTGTATCGTATATTTTAAATATAAATGTAAATATAAAAAGGATATAAAATGAAATACACATTATCAATATTTATTTATGTTAACTTAATCGTATAACGACATTACAAGTATGACGTCATATAAATATTTAATAATAATTATTATTTTTATCGATATCGAAATCGTTGTAATATTGTGATGGAAAAAAATAAATAAATAATAATTAATAGTTAAATAATATTTTAAACACTAACGATCAACGATCTATTAATCAAATAATTATTACACAAATAAAAAAAAAATTATTAAACATTAGGAAAAAAGAAAATGTTTATATCTTTGATCAAACTCAAATGTGTTCCAGGTGCTATTTTTATCGAAACACGTATACGACTTTCTCATTTTTATGCCACTCGGTGAGAGAAAAAAAAAGGAAAGAAGGAGGGGAGTGAAAGAAAAAGAGGGAAGAAGAAAGAAAGAGAGAGAGAGAGAGAGAAAGACGAAGAGAATTGGGCGGTTTCGTGTTACGTAACAGCTTTATGTTCCACCGATAAAGTTATGTAATGTAATCTAATACGTATTTCGTGTCGTTTCTTTGTCGGCGACAGCGGCATATAGGAAAGCATATCGAACATGACGCGTAGTACACATTTTTTCATCTTTGATCGGTATACTCGTTTTTGATTTGAAATTAGTTCTCAATTACAATACCAATCGCGTTATCAAGAAGACGTTTACAAATAAATCTTAAAATGTATAATCAATTTTATTGCGAAATTGTTCATTTTACACTAGTATAATTCAAAGCTTTATCAAAGTGGGCGAGATAAAAAATATTGATAAGATTCTGTTTACAATTAAACATTCAAAATTGTTGTCAAATTTGATTAGACATAATAAACAAGTTATATGAATTATATGAGTATTCATTTCTCTTTAATTTGACTTTTTTTGCGACTACTGAAAGTTTTAAAAATGTGTGATAAGCATGTGATTCTTATTATCAAAAACTCAATCATATCTGATTATTAAGGGCTTTAAACGATCTTGTGAAAAATTCGAGATCCGTATAACGATGTTTAAATTAAATTAGTGTTACTCACAGCATGACGCGGCGCCGATATAAGAAAAGCAAAAATAAATAAAGAAAGAAAGCGATCGATCCGTGTATATCCGGCGACCGTTGTTCAGTCCGATGTTTGTGCTTTATTGGTGAGAACTGAAACGAGAATTTCTCAGAAGTAACGTAACTAATCGACTAAATAACGTATATAAATAAAATGGTGATTAATGATTTCGAGGGCTCGATTGAGTGCGTGCGTTCTCGGAACGCTTCTATATTCTTTCACTAATTTGACAAACGAGTGGGAGACTGTTTTAAATGGAAATTTGATATACTGATAAGAATTGGTAGTAATCGTGACAATTTCCGTTTTAACAGGAAAAACTAACATTTTCTTTATCTATATTTTAATTCACTTTCTTGTTTCAATATACATTTAAAATCATATACTAAAATGTAATTATTATTTTACGTTATATAGTATAATTATATTGAAGATTATAAAAACGAAATGATATCTTCAGTTTAATCTTCTTATTTTATTATGCAGACTATAAAGCTTATCATTTCGTTCGATGTAACAGATAAGTCGGATATGTATACATGTAAGTAAGTATTACTTGCTTGCTTGCTTGCTTGCTTGCTTGCTTGCTTGCAACTTAATCCAATCTGTAAATCTCTTCTTTAGCTTACGATCAGAAGAAAAAGAAATATTCGATAATATTTCCTTTCGAGAAGAAGCTTCAGATTATGATAGATATTTTCTCGTGAATGAGTCTACATATATGTAAATACGATTATCGTTTCTTTCCAATTTGATATACCATATGCATGAGTTCTTTATAAAATACGCATGATTCACACGTTTATTAAAAGCCATTCGTGTATCAGTGAAAAAAAAAATGAAAAGCGTATCTATCAGTTTGACATAATTCAAACACGAGTCATGTGTATCAAATATCGTTGAGTCTAAGAAATCATCGATATGATCATTAATTTATTTATTTATTAAATAAAAAGCAGAGGGAATTTAATTCAAATATAAATAAAATAACTCCCAATCGTAACGATTAAAATAGTAAATACAAGTGTTAAAATGAAATGACGATTTTTGATGGAAATAATTGAAAGAATTTTCAAAAAAATATAAAAAATGAACGAAGTATTAAGGAAAATAAATCTCTTTAAGATCATCGAGTATTATTTAGATTTATGGTAGTTGTGTTTATATTGCAAACAACGAAATTTGAATATTAGGAAAGTATAAACACATGGCACAACATCAAACATTCATTCGTTCTAAACCTCTGAATTGAAATCGTGCAAGACGATAGGAAGTTTTCGAAGAAATCTAATTCTAAATAATGGGACGAACTAAACAAAGTAAGAAGTATCACGAAATTGACGTAATCTAAGGAGTCCTCTCGTGTCCAGAACAATCGAATAGACGAAACTTCGTGATATTCAGCACGTACGCGTTAAATTAAATTCTTAGAATAACGATGTTGGTTAATTACTTAAAAAAAAAAAAATGACAACAAAATTGTCAAACGATGAAAATTGTTTTTATTGCTTTATTTTTTTGTTTTTTCCTTTTACGGCTTTGTCTTTCGTTGTTTACTTTTCACCTTATATACTACGAAGTAGATGTTCAGAACGTTATCGACGCATAAAATTCCAACAAAAGAACTTCGGATATTCTTACGTAAATAAACAAATCCGAATAAACACAACGTTCTCTTTGAAGAAATTTTTTCTTCCGAGTTCTGACTCTCTTTCTCTCTCATGTCAGATTAGTTCGAGCGATACAAAACATTACAACGTTCTTTCCTCTCTCTCTCTTTTTTCTTCTAATTTTCCTCATAACTCGACGAAAGTTTCGTCAATTATAAATTTCTATACAAAATTCTCGCTACAGGAAATAAATGTTTATCCGACAAGAAATTCAAGCTGGATTAGAAAAGAACCAAAATTTTGCTTCAACGTAATACAGTATTGTTTTCGAACGTATCCAGTCGAAACGAAAAAAATTCCAATTGTTTTATGAGGACTAACCTGAATAATATATACAGGTATATACTATACTATACTTTTAACGAAACAATGGTTTCACGTAACACGCGTTCGTGTCAATAACGTCGGTAATGTTACTAACAACAACAAAAAGAAAAATAATAGTAAAAATACAAAAAGAAAAAGAACAAAAATGATTTCTAGTCTTGCAAAAAAGAGAGTATTGTCAAAAACGTATAGGTGATACAACAAGAGAAAAGACGGGATTACCTTTATACAATTTCCGTGTAACTCCATGTGCATGAGATAGAGAGAAAGAGAGAGAGGGAGAGAGAGAGAAAGAGAGAAAAATAGGTGGCTGAGAATCGCGTGTGACGCGCACGAGCGCGTAAGCACGCACACGCTCGTCGCGGATTATTCGTAGGGCTGTCGTGAAAAGTAAAACGCGTCGGACTCTTGGTAGATGCGATGTATACACATACACACATATGTACGTACCATACACGCGCGGTCGCTCACTCGCGGACGGGCGCGCGCGCGTATTCTCGGGTAGACTGTGAGAGGGTGGGTGGAAGGCAGAGGGTGAAGGAGAAGCTGCACAGCTCGCTCGCGAGACAAAGTGAGACGATTTGATCGGCACGCGCGTGCAAGAGAGAGAGAGAAGGTTGGGCGCCGAGAGTCGTCCGGAGGACGAGAACGGCGGGCATCGATTGGCGCGCTAGCCGTGACCCCCACCATGCCGCTTTCGCTTTCACCCAATGAGGCCTCACTTTCGCGCTCGCCCGCGCTTCGAGCCACGGCAGCCGGCACGCTGTCGTCGCCGGTACTCTCAGTGATTCTGGTGCACCCTAACGTGCGAGCGGACGTGCGACCTGAACGTGCGAGAGTACGTGTGCGTTTTTTTTTAAAAGAAAAAATAAAACTCTCGTCATTATTTCTCTGAGTTACGCACAAGATAGATAGAGAGAGGGAGAGATAAAGACAAATAAATAAAACATAAGAAGTAGCGAAAAAGTATAATAGACTTACCACATTACGTCTGTGGTGATTTTCTATCAGAAGTTTTGTCCTGGTGACATTCGTCGAAGGCGCAAAAAATTGATTTGAAAGTGAGAAAAAGAGATAGAAAAATTTATCCTTTGGATATTGCGTTTCATCGAACATCGCGCGCGCGCCCCTCACCGGTGACCCTGACACTCGGATACACCGGGTACATACGGCGCGCACGTCGTCTCTTGTACTCTGCAGCAGGCGGGAGAAGAAGAAGAGGAGGAAGAAGAAAAAGAAGAAGAGAGAAGACGGAAACAGCAGCAGAAACATCGAGTCGACCACTAGTCAGTCAGTCAGTCAGCTAACTAACCAACCAGTTCATCACACGTTCTCTATGGTCCGCGATCATTGTGAGAAACAGATCTAACGGTGTTACTTGTCACGTTCGATTGAGCCAATCATAGGACGAACATACTCAAAGTAATTCCTTTTAAATCTAATTTGAAGTTAAGTGCATTTAATAATTAAGAAAAAGCATTTAAATAATAACTGAGTACGTGCAGCTCCACTCGCGTTAGAACGGTGTCGCCTCGATCGAGTTGACCTTGACTTTGATTCTTCGTCGATTTTCGCGATCTCGGTTTGCTGAATTGGTTGAGTCGAGAGGATTCATATGCCGGTTTATGGGGGTGAATGAAATATCCTCGTTTTCGAGTTCTCTAACTTCTAAATAACATTCCAAAAGTTGATCGCGCGTGCTTATAAGCTAGTCTGAAAGAGAAGAAAGAGAGACCACGTGACTCCATCCTACTTCTCGAATGTGGAAACGCAAAACGGGCGGGAAAATGACTGAGTAATTTAAAAGTCGATTACTCGAACGTTTTATAATATCGATACTTCGTCGTGTTTTTAAGCGTCTTTGTTGAACGTTAAGAATCAAATAAAACAGGGTATAATTTTGGACGAAGGAAGGTAATCGAATTAGAAGGAGAAAGATAGAAAATAGAAAGAAAGAAAGAAGAGACAGGCAAGAAAATCAAGAAAAACGGCTGCCACGGCTTTCGAGATCGGTTGTTTGAGAGCCATGGCCCCTCGGCGCCACGGCAATGGTCACGCTACTAGTGGCGGTGGCCTCGGAGATAACAACGGTGGCATAGGTGGGACCGGAAGCAACGACGCCGTTCAAATGGAGAATAATTTGGTTGTTGGCCAGAACAACAACAACAATAATAATAATATTAACAACGGTTTAAACAATCAAGGTACGACTCGTTGCTGTACACCGACGGGCGAATGCTTGCGCAGTGATTCTTTGATACGAATGAATGCCCTGCATGACGCGGTCAAGGTCATTTGCAATAACGAGAACTGTCCAGTAGGACAGTTCATGCATCGCGAGTGTTTCGATGCGTGGGAGCAAACGATCCTGACCTATCTTAAGAGCTGCGGACGAGCAAGAAGTTGGTCTGAGAGACAACGTCATCAGAATCTTTGGACGAAGAAAGGCTATGATCTTGCATTTAAAGCCTGCGGATGTCGGTGCGGACGTGGCCATCTTAAGAAAGACCTCGACTGGATGCCACCGGGCTTAGGTAACGCTCCAGGCAATCGTCACGACGAGAACGAAGCGAAGAAGAAAAAACGACGCAATCGACAAAATACTCGTCCAACTTTAGCCGTATCGGCCGGTCCACCCAATCACTCGAGTCACGTAGTTTCTACGAACGGACGTGGCACCACCGAAGCACAACTCATCGAGTCCGGACGCGGTAGGGCCGGTTCTCTTTCATCGAGTACCGGTTCGAGCTCACCACCGGCCACCAGCGAGCCCAGTGTTAGTCCTCTTCATCAACCTCAGGCCATCGTCAAGAAGAAAAGCAAGATTGACTTTTTTGCCGATCGAGCAAGGTTAGTAGTAATAACAATAAATGATCACCGACTAATCTAAGTACCGATACATTAACATTGGCAACAAGTAATTTTGTCTAACAATTTTTAACATTGTTTGTGAATGTCTCTTAACTAATATTTTTTCCTACTATTATTTATAACAATTTATTCCTTTTTTTTTTTAATAATAAAATCTTGGGGTGATTCAATAATTAACAAATCAAGAGAAATTATTAATGATCTTGTATTTAATAAATGGTTGTGTGTTGTTAAAATTTGTATAAAGACTATGCCGACAATAATAAAGAACACATTTATTGCTTATTATGTGTCGTTTGAAATTTGCCGCTGAATGAAAATATTTTCTTTGTTTCTTGTTCTCTTGCACACAAAACAGTTGCGTCTTTCCTCATGTAGCAATGGTTTATTTCATGTTGAACGTAGTTTCCTTTTTGGAATTCTTTTCTCTTTTTTTTTTTTTTTTTAAAGTTTCTTGAAACATATGTATAATATTCTTTGAGAGGTATTCGTATATTATCTAGCAACAGAAATACAGCAGTAGCAGCAATAGCAACAGCGTACTTGGCGATATCCTTGTAAAGGAGTCAGAGGCTCCTATCACTTTGAATCTTCTCGGAAACGTTAACGGGAGAACGTAGTTGAGGAGAGAGATTACCTCTTATAAACGTAACCCGATATATCCCTTAGGATCACTCTCTGTTAGCTTGAAATTTCGATCTCTCTCTTTCTCTCTTTCTCTTCCACTCCTATTCCTAGGATAGAATTTCGATAGAAGGATAGGTAGAAGAGTCTCCTTGATTTAAGACGATTGGTCCGTTTAACCTAGAAAAGAAACATCAGAACGCGATCGTTCGTTCAAATCGATTAGTTTCATTGGAAGTTAGGAGAATAAAAGAGAAAGAGGAGCAAAAGATTCTTTTCTACTTCGTTTCGAAGAACAAAAGAGCACTTGAGTAAAGAGAAGGAAAGCGGAAGTTCTTTCCTTCCCCCCCCCCCCATTGAAGAACTTTCCAGACGAGCTTTCCGAGAGGCTTGAATGAAATTGCGAGTTCGTTTTGCGAAACGAAAGAAAGAGAGAAAAAAAGTGTGTGTGTGTGTCGTATGGGTGTATATGAGAAAGAGAGAAAAAACACATAAGGAGAAAATATATATCAGCTATATATATGTATAATCATATGTCGTTTTGCGAAGGGAGAAAAGACGAGAAGGATAAAAAAAAAAGGAAGAAGATTACGATGTCGTCCTACCCAGGGCGTTTGTATGTGCTCGCGCGCGTTTCAGGCATATTCGTAGTTATCTTATTTTTAGATCCCGGCTTGGAAACTTGTCCTATTTTTGTTGTAGTTTCTATCGAATCGTTTAGATGAAGAAAAGGAACGAAGATGATCTTAAAAGCACACACCATAACAGCTTCTTTTACTATCTGCTGTTTACATTATCGTAGATTTTTTTTCTTTTTTTTTTTTTTTAATAGAGCATAATATTCGAAAGACATATGTTTGTTCGATTATATGTTAGGGATTGTGTTTCTATTTTTTTAATTCATAATCAATCCATCGCGTTGATTCGAATGATTTTTGCACCCTAAAACGAGCCACATATATATATCTGTTACAATCTGCTACTGTTACTGATATCCTTTCTATTTGCAAGTTTGGTCTCGTGTTGCGATTAAAAAAGTGCGCACGTTCGTGCAAAAGAATAGGAGCCGTTTTCGTTTTCAACTCAAACATAACGACAAGAACGAATAATCACACACACAACGTTCCTCGAGTTCTTAAAACCACCACCATCGACATTTACCGAGAATTTTTGTTTTCTTCTTCTTCTTTTTCGCTGCATTTGAGCGTGTGCATCTGAACGAAGATATAGAAGGAAGAAGAAAAAGAAAAGATAAGAAGAAAAGGAACAGGAAAGGAAGAGAAAAAGGTGTAGGAAAGAGAGAGAGAGAGAGAGAGAGAGAGAGAAATGTTTGTGGCCTTGACCGTGGCCACCTCTTCAGGGCCACCAAGTAAAGGAGGAGCCCGATGCTCTAGCAGTTCTTCAAGGCCAACTGCATTGAATCACGGCACCACGATGCATTTAAAGAGGCAGAATGACGAGAGAGAGAAATACGTTTAAAAATTCGTACACGTTTTTTTTGTTCCTTTTTTTCACTCTCCCTTTTTATTTTTCAAATGATACTATCTACTGATCTTTTCTTTTGTACTTTTGATTTTTGTATCATTATATGAAATATTCGCGAGTTAAAAGAATTAATTTGATTTTTTTAAATTTTGTTAAATATCTCATTGTCAAAATCGGTTTTATGGAAATTCAATATTTTTGTTTTTGTATTTAACGTAAGACCAATTTTCTTTCTCTAATCAAGCTTTAATAACATTAAAATTTATTTTTTAGTCACTTGATTATAAATGATAATATCATGTATTTTATTATATCACTCTTTCTTCTTTTGTTTGTTTCTTCTTTTTCTTATTCATTGTTTATTTCTGTAGAGAGAATAGTTTTAGCATATGAATGATTCATAAATCGATTTTAAAAAGTCATTTTTTTCCTCTTTTTAATTATACAATTTTATTGATTATAGATAAAAATAATATCTTTTTCGATTTAATTTACATTTTTGTTTTTCAATTCTCGTAGAATTTTTTTTTTTTTTAAAGATGTTACTGTTGCCGTAAGCCCTCATCCTTTAGAAACGCGAGTTTCCTTTTTATTTTCAATCTAACGACGTGTCGGTGGGAGAACGGGCTCGTAAAATTTCGAGGAGTTATCCTTTGTCTCTCTTTCTCTTTCTTATCTTCTATTTCACTCTCACTTTCTGTCTCACTTTCTCTTTCTTATATTCTCTACTTCCTTATCCCAAGCCCTGTCTCGCGACACATTCCTCCTCCTTTATGGGCTTCAATTAAAAGGAGGAGCTTCCTCCGAACTGCGCATTATCCTAAATCTTTCGGGTGGTGGTTGTCGAGAAGAAGGGGTCCTACCACCACCATCATCTCAACGACACATAAAGACGATGAAAAAGAAGAAGAAGAAGAAGACGGTATGGCACGCCTTGTTCCGTTGAGGGATCGAGAGGATAACAACGAGGATGTCGATTACCAATTCTAAATATCGTTGTACGTAACTGCGAAGGCACAGGCAGTCAGTAACAACACAGCAACAGCAGCAGTAGCAGTAGCAACAGAGGGTTGCTTACTCGTTGTTATTAAAGTAACTTGTTTTTTTATTTTTTTCTTATTCTAAACACCTTCCTAACGTTATTTTTACAAAAGTAATCATGACTTCTTTGTTTTCATTTTATCTATCTTAAATATATCATTTACAAATTTTTTATATTGTCGATCAATCCTTATAATTTTGTACTATTTATCAGGATTATTGATAATACATTTTTATCCCTTAAAGTGCACACTTGGTGTTTGACACGCCAACAAATTTTTGATCTCTCGAAAACGGTACTGAATTCGAAAAAATTGGTTATTTTTCGCCATCTAGTGTTAATTCAGATGGGTATAAAACCTATTCTATTTTAAAAAAGATGTATCAAACTACTTTTACAAAAATTGCGATTTGTCTAAATATTAAATAGCGGCTTCAGTAATATCAAATACCCACAGTGCACTTTAACGTAATTTTAAAAAGTGTGCACTTTAACGTAATTTTAAAAAGTGTGAACTTTAAGGGTTATAATAGTTACACAAGATTTTAATTTTGTTCTTCTTTTTATCGATTAAATCTAAAAAAAAATTAATTTTTGATACGCGGTTTTCGAAAATAAAGACCGAACACAATTACATGCGTTAGTTTGGATTCAGAATTTTTTTTTCTTTTTGCATTTTTTATTATTATTATTATTTTTTTTTTTTTTTGAAAGTAATTTCGAATTTTTGCGCTGTTATAGTTAACAAAAAATTTTTCCTGTTTTTTTTTTTTTTTTTTTTTTTTTTTTTCTGTTTTTTTTTTTTTTTTTTTTTTTTTTTTTTTTTAAGGAGTTTCCTGCTCGGATAAACAAGCCCCAAGCATTTAGCCGGTAGCGATAAGAAATTATCTTACCTAGTCACCTTCATGTTAGACAAATCGCAGTTTCACACGCCAGATAAATGCTTAGTATTTCTAAGAAACAAATGTTATCATTTTTTTTTTTTTTTTTTGAGGTATCTTTCTTAACCAAGAAATAACAATGACTGTAGCAAGTTGTTCGTAAATCTTTCGGGAAATATTTATTCATTTGTGTATTCACAAAGCTTTTCCTTTTTAATTTAATTGCATTCCTGCAATTCATTTCTTGTCTCTTTTGTCTCTTGTTAAACTCTTGTAGAGTTTATTAATTTTTCCATTTTTTTTTTCAAATCAAAAATTTACTTTATTATAAAAAAAGAAAGTAAAATGTATCTTTAACTGTCTTACCAACTTTTTATTATTATTTTTTTTTTTATATAAATGTTAACATTTTTAATAATAATTACAACGAGGATTCACGAGACCCTTAATTATATTGTTTTCTTTTTTTTTTTTTCATATGAATGAATTGCATAATATTGTTGAGCAAGAACATGAGGTGTGTTTAAGTAAGAGTTTGCAGCTTTAACTGGTATAGTAATTATCACTTTCTTCGTCTCTTCATTATCGATCGTTTCCAGTAAAGGTAAATGATCGTTACGTGTTATTCAATTGTGTTCAGTATGATCAATCGATCGATCGATAATTCGTACCTCAAACATGGGAATTAACGCGTTGCTAGAAGTCTTTCGATGATCTTTACAATATTTTTTATTCTCCTTCATATTTTTCCTACAAACTTAAAAATATATCGACGAAAATGTCAAGGTATTTTTTTTTATTACTTGACATATACAAATTACGTAAAATTTGATACGTTGGTTTATGTAATACGGTAATACAATGATTATGGTTAAACCAATCATAATTTTGATCAAATTTTTTGATTTATTTGTTTTATTATTAAATTTATACGGGGTATTTTTATA